GATCCATCCCACCATCTCCCACCCCTCTATCCCTCTATCCCCCATCTATCTAACCCCGTACGCACCTCTCTATTCATCCGCCCACCCCTCTATCGAGCCATCCCCCATCCCCACCCCTCTATCCCCTCACCCCTCTATCCCTCCATCCCCCCTCTATCTAACCCCATATGAACCTCTCTGTCCATCCCCCTCACCCCTCTATCCCCCCATTCCTCTATCCCTCCATCTATCAACCCATACGCACCTCTCTATCCCCCATCCCCACCCTCTATCCATCCATCCCCGCATCCCCACCCTGTATCCCCCCATCCATCTAACCCCGGATGCACCTCTCTATCCATCCCCCCACAGCCTTCTATCCATCCAACCATCCCCTACACCTCTATCGATCCATCCCCCACAGCCTTCTATCTACCCATCCTCCACAGCCTTTTATCCATCCATCCCCCCATCCCCACCCCTCTATCCATCCACCCCCCCATAGCCTTCTATCTACCCATCCCCCACAGCCTTCTATCCATCCATCCATCCATCCCCCCAACAGCCTTCTATCTACCCATCCTCCCATCCCCCAGCCTTCTATCCATCCCCCACCCCACCCCTCTATCCATCCCCCATCACTATCCCCATATGCACCCCTCTATCCACCCATCCACCCACAACCTTCTATCCATCCATCCCCTCATCCCCCATCCCTCTATCCCCCATCTCCCCACAGCCTTCTATCCATCCATCCCCCACCCCTCTATCCCAATACGCACCTCTCTATGCCCCATCTCCCCACAGCCTTCTATCCATCCATCCCCCCTCCATCTATCTAACCCTGTATGCATCCCTCTACCTGTCCATCCCCCACAGTCTTCTATCTACCCATCCCCCATCCCTCTATCCCTCCATCTATCTAACCCCATATGCACCTCTCTACCCATCCATCCCCCCACAGCTTCTATCCACCCATCCCCCACCCCTCTATCCACCCCCCACAACATTCTATCTACCCATCCCTCCATCCCCACCCCTCTATCCATCCACCCCCTCCATCTAACCCCGTATGCACCTCTCTATCCATCCATCCATCCATCCTCCACAGCCCTCATTCTACCCATCCCTCACCCCTCTATCCATCTATCCATTCCCCATCTATCTATCCCCATATGCACCTCTCTATCCCCCCATCCCCCCACAGCCTTCTATCCATCCATCCCCCACAGCCCTCTAGCCATCCATCCCCCTCCATCCATCCATCCCCCTCTATCTATCTAACACCTTACGCACCTCTGTACCCATCCATACCCCCACAGCCCTCTATCTACCCATTCCCCCAACACCCCTAGCTATCTACCCATCCCCCCTTCTATCCATCCATCTCCCCACAGCCTTCTATCTACCCATTCCCCATCCTCCCACAGCCTTCTATCCATCCATCCCCCACCCCTCTATCCCAATACGCACCTCTCTATGCCCCATCTCCCCACAGCCTTCTATCCATCCATCCCCCTCCATCTATCTAACCCTGTATGCATCCCTCTACCTGTCCATCCCCCACAGTCTTCTATCTACCCATCCCCCATCCCTCTATCCATCCATCCCCCATCTATGTATCCACATATGGACCTCTCTATCCACCGATCCCCCACCCACAGCCCTCTATCTACCCATCCACTGATCCCCCCACCCACCATCTATCTAAACCCATACACAGCCCTGTCTATCCTTCCATCCCCCCATACCCTCTACCTATCCTTCCTCCACCTAACATCTATCTATCCCCATACACACCCTTCTACCCATCCATCCCCCCAACCATCCCACCACAGCCTTCCATCCATCCATCCCCTACCCCTCTATCCATCCCCTCTATCTCAATACGCACCTCTCTATCCCATCCCACCACAGCCTTCCATCCATCCATCCCCTACCCCTCTATCCATCCCCCCATCTATCCCAATACGCACCTCTCTATCCATCCATCCCACCACAGCCTTCCATCCATCCATCCCCTACCCCTCTATCCATCCCATCTATCTCAATACGCACCTCTCTATCCATCCATCCCACCACAGCCTTCCATCCATCCACCCCCTACCCCTCTATCCATCCACCCCTTCTATCCCAATACACAGCTCTCTATCCATCCATCCCCCCACAGCCCTCTATCCATGCATCCCCCCATCCCCCACCCCTCTATCCATCCACCCCTCCATCTATCTAACCCCATACACACCCCTCTACCCATCCATCCCCACACAGCCTTCTATCCATCCCACCACAGCCTTCCATCCATCCCCTACCCCTCTATCCATCCCATCTATCCCAATACCCACCTCTCTATCCATCCATCCATCCCCCCACAGCCCTCTATCCATCCATCCATCCCCTCCATCTATCTAACCCCCATACACACCTCTCTACCCACCCATCCCCCCACAGCCCTCTATCTACCCATCCACCCATTCCCCCAACACCCCTATCTATCTATCCATCCATCTCCATCCACATCTCTATCTATCAATCTAACATATCTACATAGCCTTCCTTTTCTTCCAGGGCCATACACCAGGGTGCATGTGTGTCTCTCTCTTCCTGTAACAATCTCTCCTTCTATCCATCACCGGATCCACACATCCCTTTCCACCCCCCTCCACAGCTAGAGGGCTGCCTCCCCGTCGCCCCCACAGCACAGCCACACACTCCCACATGCGGTACATGCATGTCCACACGGACACACTCATAGAGGAAATAGTTTGTATTCCAAGAGGTCCAGAGAGAGGGGGGGGAGGAGGATTCTGTATTCCAGAGACACACACACACACACAGAGGAGAAAATTCGATTATTTCAGAGAAACACAAACACTATAAAATTCTATTTCAGCTGTGTACACACACACACAAATTGTGTATGCCAGTGAGAGATGGTAATAGATGCAAACTGCCAGAGGCACATATGCATAGTGATAGATAATTAGTCAATATTCTAGTAGTGTGCACACACACACACACACACACACACAAATTGTGTCTACTGGAGATATAAATGGACATGGAGATAAAATATCATTATTCCAGTGGCAAAACACACACAGATCATATTTGTGTCTCAGTGTTAAATACACACACATACAATTGTGTATTCCGATGAAACACACACAGATCAAATTGTGCATCCCAAAGGTACACACACAAACACTATTCCAGAGATCCACACACACAAATAACAATTGTGCATTCCAGAGGTGCACACACACACACTGAGCAGGGCTCATCCTCTCCAGCAGGAGGCAGCACACACACACACACACACACACACACACACACACACACACACACACACACACACAC